TGTTCACAGCAGCACTATTTACAATAGCTAAGATCTGGAAACAGCCCAAATGTCCATCAGTAGATGAATGGATAAAAAAGCAGTGGTACATATACACAATGGAGTACAATGCAGCGGTAAGAAAGAAAGATCTCTTATCCTTTGAGACAACATGGAGGGACCTAGAAAGTATTATCCTAAGTGAAATAAGCCAAGCAGAAAAAGACAAATACCACATGATCTCACTTATATACGGAATATAATGAACATAACAGTCTGAGGAATATGGTAGACCCAGAAACATGGAAGTAGGGCACAGACTGACATCCCTCAGAAGAGGGGTTAGGGGTTGGGGTGGGAAGAGATAAACTACAGAACTTACATGCATGTATGCATGACCAACGGACATGGAAATTAAGCTGGGGATGGGGTGCGGGTGGGTTGGGGAGGTGGGTGCCAATGGGGTAAAAAAGGAGAAATATCTGTAACAAAAAAATAAATATAAAAAAAAAAGAAAAAAAAATCAATGATGGAAAAGGATTTTAATACATTTTCATTTCTGTTAGTTTTATGGTCTATGAGTGCTATTTTGTGAACTTAATAGCTAAAACTGTCCTAATATAAATAGCATTTATCTATTAAAATATAAACAACTTGTGAGCATTTTACTATAATATCCTCTTTGGTCAAAGGCCATTCCTTATATATTTGTGTTCAGCCAGATCAACCTACAATGGGCAAGTCTCATCATCGGAAACAGCATCCAATTACTTTATAGTGTCCCACTCTTAAACATAAGCAGATAACTAAGACCACCAGATATTTGAGAAAGATTTCTTAAAAGAGGTAAAAACAAACACACAAATAAAGAAACAAAAAACAAGAAATGTAAATTGCAGAAAACAAAGTCTATACAAAGAAAATAAAAAAACGATCATTAATATCCTCAGTAAAATAAAAGAAGATATAAAGTAAGAATCTAAGGATAATATAAAAAAGAAACATTCAAAAAAAAGAGTTCATGAAAATTTAAAATATGGTACCAGATGAAAGATTAAATAGGATTGGAAGGAAAAATTGAGGAAATCTCCCCTTGTAGCAACTCCAAGAGACAAAGAAATAAAAATAAGATAAAAAAGACAAGAAAATTAAAAGACTGTTTTTAAAGGTCCAATATCTGGATAATGGGAGTCCCAGAAAGAAAGAGTGGATATAATTAAAGAAACTATTCAAGACAGAGTCTTAGAACTGAAGCATGTACATTTCTATATACAAAGAGCCCACTAAGTGTCCAAGACAATGGATAACATTTGCCAATGATATCTCTAATAAGGGGTTAATCTCCAAAACATATAAAGAACTCATACAGTCCTGGCTAGTTTGGCTCAGCGGTTAGAGCGCTGGGCCATGGACCAAAGAGTCACAGGTTTGATTCTGGTAAAGGGCACGTACCTCTGTTGCAGTTCAGTCCCTGGCTCTGGTGGGGTTGTGTGGGAGGCAACCAGTTGATATGTCTCTCTCTTTCTCTCTCCCCCTCCCACTCTGTCTGAAGATAAATGGAAAAAAATATCCTCAGGTGAGGATTAAAGAAAAGAGGAAGGAAGGAAGGAAGGAAGGAAGGAAGGAAGGAAGGAAGGAAGGAAGGAAGGAAGGAAGGAAGGAAGGAAGGAAGGAAGGAAGGACTCATAGAACTTAATAAAAGGAAGATAAACAATCCAATTAAAAATGGGCAAAGGACCTAAATAGACACTTCTCCAAAGAGGACATACAGATGGCCAAGAGACATATGAAAAATGCTCACTATCACTAATTATCAGAGAGTTGCAAATTAAAACTACAATGAGGTATCATCTCACACCTGCCAGAATGTCTACCATCAACAAATCAAAAATGACAAGTGCTGGTGAGGATGTGGAGAAAAGGGAATCCTAGTACACTGCTGGTGGAAATGCAGACTGCTCCAGCCACTGTGGAAAACACTATGGAGTTTCTTTGAAAAATTAAAAATGGGACTGCTATTTGACCCAGAGATCCCACTTCTAGAAATATATTTTAAGAACACTGAAAGACTAATCAGAAAGAATACATGCACCTCTATGTTCATAGCAGGACTATTTACAATAGATAAGATCTGGAAACAGCCCAAGTGCCCACCAGTAGATGAGTAGATAAAAACGCTGTGGCAGCCCTGGCTGGTATGGCTCAGCAGTTGGAGTGTCATCTTGCAGACCCAAGGGTTGTGGGTTCTATTCCTGGTCAAGTGTACATACCTGGGTTGCAGGTTCAATCCTGGCCCTGGCCAGGGTAGTACAGGAGGCAACCAATTGATGTGTCTCTCTCATATTGATGTTTCTCTCTCTCTCCCTGTCCCTTCCACTCTATCTAAAAATCAATGGAAAAATGTCTGCAGGTGAGGATTAAAAAAAAAAAAGCTGTCCTGGCCAGTTTGGCTCAGTGGTTAGAGTGTCGGCCTGCGGTCCAGAGAGACCTGGGTTCGGTTCCCGCTAAGGGCATGTACCTCGGTTGCAGTCTGTCCCTGGCCTTGGTTGGGTTGTGCGGGTGACAACCACTAGATGTGTCCCTTTCACGTCAATGTTTCTCTCTCTCTCTCCCTCCCACTCTATCTGAACAAAAAATGGAAAAATATCCTTGGGTGAGGATTAAAAAAAAAAAGCTGTGGTAATTTAATACAATGGAATACTATGCAGTCGAAAAAAAGAAGGATCTCCTTACCCTTTGAGACACTATGGAGGGGCCTGGAGAGTATTATGCTAAGCAAAATAAGCCAGTCAGAGAAAGATAAGTATCACATGATCTCACATATATGTGGAATTTAATGAACAAAATAAACTGATGAACAAAATAGACCCTGAGACATGGAAGCATGAAACAGACTGATGAATCTCAGAGGGAAGAGGGTGGGTGGGAAGAGATTAACCAAAGAACTTATATGCAAATATGTATAACCAATGTACACAGACAATAGTGTGGTGAAGGCAGGGGTGGGGATCAGGACCGGGGTGGAGGGGGTCAATGGGGGAGAAAGGTGAGAACATCTATAATACTTTCAAAAATAAAGATAATTTTTCTAAAAAGGGAGACACACACAAACAAATAAAAGATCCACAAGTAGGAACATCAGTGTGCAATTTAAAAATTCTGGTGGCACGTAAAAAAATCCTATAAGCTTCCAACATGAAAAAACCAAACTGGCTTTAAACAAAAGATCAAGCATCAGAATGACACTGTTTCTTAATAGTGACTCCAGAAGGTAGAAGGACAACTAACTAATGCCTTCATTATGAGGGAAAGTGGTTTCAAAGCAAAAATTCCTTATCTAGTTAAATTACTAATTATCTGTGAGTCTAGTGAAAAGTTAATATATTTTCTGACCTGCAAGGTGTTCTGACATGCATTTTCTAACACACAAGGCCTTAAAAAAAATGACTCTTTGTTTACCTTTTCTCAGGAAGCTATGGGAAAGTATACTCCTCCCACAAAAAGAGAGTAAGCCAAGAAAGAGAAATAGAAGAAGTCTGTGAAATAGGGGATCCAACATAGGAGAGGGGTGAAGAGAGACACCGAGATGATGGGGTAAGTCTCCTAAGATAAAAGCTGGGCAGACCCATATAGAGAAATGAGATCAGTGACAGATCAGAAGGCCCCTGGCATCCAGAAGCTGATCTGGCACTCACAGCTAGGCCTTGGTGTTGTGCTGTTGAACACAATCTCAAGAAAATAACCATCAGACTAGACCATTCTATGATAACAGACAAAAACAAGATCACACTGTATTTGTGTTTCATCCCACACAAAAACATAAACATTGTCTAATCCACAAAATATCACATACTCTTATCTCACAGTCTTCCTTTCCAATTACAGCTTTACCCTCAATCTAGTCTTTCTCTTTCTAGCTAAGATTTATTACGATACTCAACCATAGAATTATTCTCACTTTCTGACAACATCCAAATCTAGGGCAAAGCCCTATTTTCTTTAGCCATCCCCCAAATCATATAACACAAGCACAAATCCTTTTAAGTCCTTTCTAATACACTCTACGGAGATACCCTACTGTTTCCCAAGATGTGTGTTCTCCTTTGCTGCAATGGGTAATAAATTCAGTTCCTTCAAATGAGAGGGGAACTAGGCAAAGGTTAGGATCAGCAATGTCTACCACAGTTGGAAACTTCTGCTTAAATTTCTGAGGTCATGAATCTCCATAAGGTCAGGGAGCATGACAATACTCAAGAGAATGAATATGGTTTCTATGCACCCTGCTGCTTCATTTCAGAGTTTGATGATCTCTCTCTCTCTCTCTCTCTCTCTTTTTTTTTTTTTTTTTTTTTTATCAAAGGAAGCATTGGCCAAGGTCCAGCACAAGGATGAAGCCTCTAAAGGATGAAGCCTTTCAAGAGTGATTGGTTGATTAGCAGGGCGTGCCACCTGAGAGAGGAGAGAATCAGAGGCAACAGGACCAAAACCCCAGACTTGGGAGCACAGAGGTAGCAAGAGAGTAACAGCTGTCTTGATCATTCTCTGACTGGAGTACTCTCTAATACTGCACAGAATTAGCCAGGTAGCCTAAACATTGGGTTCCATTCGTCCTTGGCTAGTTAGAGATGCAGGCCAACTGACCAGTTAATACTGACAGGATTTGATCTAGTCTCTGACTCTGAGCGTCTACAATGACATCATTCTGGATCTCTTTCAAAGGTAAAGATAGTGGTTTACTTGGTCCTACCCTGTAGTGACTGGATGGCTCAGCTGCTCCCCCTGGCCAGGCTGATGCCAAATCCAAATAAGACATTTATCTAATCTTGGGATAACAAATAGAGATTGGAAAATATTACAGGACTATAGACTCTATCATCGCTTTGATACATTTTAAAATGCCTTTTTTCTGTTCTTCCTCTTTCCCTCTTCTTTTTTTTATTGATAGCAAAATAACTTAAATTTTTTTTACTTCAAAAAGACAGCACTGAGCTTAATAGTAGATAGTGGCATACAGCACCCACCTCTAACAGAAACCTTTGATGCAGTGCTTGAGTTTGAGTGAGGGCATCCCAGGACACTTTCAAGAGTAGCTCCATTTTTTTCAAATTTCGAAAATCTCGTTCTTTCTCTCTTTGCTTTCGAGAAAGTTCATCATGGTAGTTCTGTTTGTCAATGAGACAGTTTCGTAAACTGAGATCCAAAATCCCTCTGTTCCAGATAGAGACAAAATGAAAGTGATTAGTCATCAGGTTCCCTTCATGTTTTTAAAGACAGCATGCTCAGCATATCCATACAGACTATTCTCATGTTAGAATTAAGTTGTAAATAATGCCCAAAGCAACTTTGTTTGCAAGTTGGTATCATTTAATGCCACAGTCTTATAAAAACCACAAATGGTAGAGAAGATTGGCAGAGACAGAGGCTCCTAATTTCCCTGCAATTTTACTTAAAATTAGAAAGTAACACGCTCTCAGGAAATCACATCACCAATTGCTCCCATTAGGAAAAAGTAATAATTACCTCAGAAATACCATTCATTTGTAGGGGGAAAAAAAAAATCCCTCAACTCTAGCACTCTCGGATAATCTGATTTTCCAGAGGCAAATTTCAGAAACATATAAAACAACAGGTTGTGTCCTTAAGATTTGGTCACAGGAAATTGAGGTAAACAATGAGTAAAAGATGGAAAAAATACTTCTAAAATGCTTTATTTAATAATGTATGTTTTATTAATAGTAAAAAAAATTGATTTAAAGTCCTATAAAATGTTTATTGAAAAGTTCTATAAAAAACATCTGTTTGATTATGTTTTGAATCCTAATATATAAATTGAAGAAAAATTTCGATGACATACATATAACTAACCTTTCAGTTAGTAAAGTTGCTTCATTCTCTCTGGTTAATTCCAATAGCTTGGCCAATTGGTTATATTCTCGTTCTTTGATTTCAAGTAAGGCTCGTTTGCCTTCAACTTCCTTTATTATATCCTCCTTCTCTTCCATTATGGCATTAACTTTGGTTTCAACTTTCTTTAGGGAGTCATTTAGTTCTTTGAGTTCATGTTCCAAGATAATTTTTTTCTTTTCCATTTCTCTGTGAGGGATATATACATACATACACATACAAGCATTTGCCTTATTTTGAACCCATGCTGTCTTTACCTATTTTTACTTCCTCACCAGGCAACAGAAGAGCTAGTCATAAATTCAATGATCTCGGAAATGGGGTGAAGACCACAGATGGGTGGGACTCAGAGGGTATCTCCACTGAGGGTGGGCATTTGTCCAGCTGACTCACTTCTTCCCTGATCCTGGGGTTCTACCCTCATCCTGACCAGCATCCCAGAACTGAGCTGAATTTCTCAACTTTGGTGCTGGTGGGCTTGGCTAGAGCCTATTTCATTTTCCCTCTTCTTCTTTTTTTCTATCCTCACCCGAGGACATTTTTTCATTTTTTTGTTCAGATAGAGTGGGAAGGGAGAGAGAGAAACATCGATGTGAAAGGGACACATCGAGTGGTTTCCACCCGCACGACCCAACCAGGGCCAGGGACAAACTGCAACTGAGACACGTGCCCTTAGCGGGAACCGAACCCGGGTCTCTCTGAACCTCAGGCCGATGCTCTAACCGCTGAGCCAAACCAGCCGGGGCCATTTTCCCTCTTCTTTTGAGTCACCAGAGCAACCATATTATTTCTCCAGAACTGGTGTGTCTTCACTTATATTTACCTTTTTTAGTTCCTCTAAACCTTGAAAATGTCCTCAGTGACTTCTCAGGAGGGCATTACACAGGTGAAGAGGTGGCAAAGAGTTCCTACCATTTGGGCTTTAGGCTTCTGGCTGGCTGACATACTTCTAAACATGAAACTCTACACAGTTCGAATAATTTATCCCTGAACATCTCTGTTAAAGTCAACTGGAGTTCTTCATAAAGATATGTTTTATGAATTGGAAAGGGAATATTGTCCCCAAATTAAGACATAACGAGTATTATGGATGATAGTGATATGAGGCTCTACTTCAATGAACTTGCTATACACAACCTAGACAGGAACAAATGCAAATATTTCTAAAATTATAGCAGTAATTTGATGTGTTTAGTGGTTAATTTCCTTGTTTTAGGGTACACACATAACCTGGGAGAGTGGGTTGGGAATAATTAAAAATAAAAATATTAAATCATACACTTTTTTGCGTGTTGTTTTTTCTATCTCTTTTCCAATTTGTACAGGGATGGCTTGATGGTGGACCACTTCATCCTAGTAAAGGAATGGAACCATGTCAAATTATGCAAGATAAGCAAATTAAATAGGGGAGGAAAGAACTACAATATGTAGAACTTTCACTATCTGTTCTGTACTATGTAGGATGCTTTAATTATTCTATTTAATACTCCCCATGAGCCTGTAGTATAGTTCTGGTTGTTACCATTTTAAAGGGGAGATAACTGAGTCTAACAAATACAGCTGGTGCTCTACCCAGATTCCTTTTATGGAGGTACACTCATCCATCAGAGTTTTCAGGAATTGGCTGCTAACAGTTCATGCTTGTTCTCTTCTCCATCGCTGAACAGAACTGACTTGTTGGAGAATAGAGGATGGAGAGAAGGGGAGAACAGGCTGTGAAATGGCTAACTGAGGTGGTGATATAACATCCCCACCCTGCCACCACCTCTGGGTGGAATAACCTCTGCGGTGCAATTCATGGTCAAAGGTTTCCCATGGGATCAGGTTGATACTAAGATTCTTCGGAAATCATATTTTTGGCTCAGTTCCTTCCCTACCTCTATTCTGCTTCCCTCACTGCCTTATCAGATTCTTCTTAGAGTCCTTCATCCAGGAACACTTGTCGAAGCTCTGATACTAGGGAACCCTGCCTAAGACTCATGCTCAGAGAAGTTAATAATTTTCCCAAACTCACACAGCTAGTAAGTGTCCAGGCCAAGATCAGAAGCCAATTTTGTCTAACACCACTTTCCAGTATGTTCTGTGGGTTCATAGAAGGTTCAGTTTTAGCACAAGAAATGGCATGGATGATGGAAGAGCCCTTTTGGCCTGAGGATCACAGTGGACTTTGGGGCCTGGGTTAACACGTGCATGGAGGGTGACCACATCGCTGAAGTGTGTGTACATCTCCCTGGGATCCTGCTCAGTTCTGGGGCAGATCCAATCTTTTCGAGGCTGAAACCTATACAATTTTTTGTGGGTGGGGCTCTTTCAGGAAAAGAGTAGAAAATTACAAATGCTGAATTAGGTATAGGGCTTTGGAAGAGGTTCATGCAAATGGGGGGCCTGAAGCTTTAGTTTTACTGGGTTCCTCATAAATCCATCTCTGCTCAGTTTATAAGTTCCAGGTAGCAGTGGGTACATCTTGGCCAACTGCTCTAAGACTCATAAGCAAAAAGATGTCAAAGCGTATCACACTCGCCCTCTAAGCCCAAGAATGTCAGATGTTATTTTAAAAATAACTCTAATTTATTTAAACTGTTTTGAGAATTATTACACATTTTTAAAAATAAAATGAATTTAAATTATCTCCTAAAACATAAATACAGGCCCCTCATCATGTACATGGTGAGAGGGAAGTAGAGTGGAATCAAACAGACAAGGGTAAGGTGATAAAAATATACATAAGAATGTATAAACAATGGACATGGACAACAAAGGTGGGAACAGGGTGGGAAGGGAGGGAGAAGGGGGAATCAGTGGGGAAAAAAGGAGAAACATCTGTAACAAAAATAAATTAATTAATTAAAAAAATAAAATATAATTACTAGCTCTGAAAAAATATATATATACATAAGAGGTTAGGAAATTTGGTTCCTGCTCAAGGAAGAGATTACATTCGTGGCACTCATTTCTAATGTAAAAAAATACTTGGCAAAGTCTAGAGAGGCCTGTCTCCAGGTGGGGCTCCAAATTACAATGATACTACCGAATACTCTAAAGACTTTTGTGAATTCCCAGAGTCCAATTTTAGTTTGATTGGCTCACTCATGATGCTGAACATTTGATTATGGGATGACACTCCTCTTTGTCAATCCTATGCGGTCAAACTTGATACCCATGCATTTTTATGTTCATGCAGGCACAATATTTATGAATATTTATGAACTGTAAGTAGCACACCTTTAGGTTGACCTGATATTCCAACAATTCTTCTAGTTCCTTCTGCTCCTTTACTAATTGCTTCTGCTTAGATGTTAAATCTTCCCGTAAATTTTTAATTTCTAACTTCTTCTGCATTATTTCTTTACGTATTTCTTCAGTGCTTTCTCTCAATAGTCTCATCTTCTTCTCCATTTCCTTTAAAAGTTGTAAAAATTATTAGGTCATTCAGAGTCAAAACAAAACATTTGTCTACCTAAATATCAAATTAAAAAATAATTTTACTCACCATTTTGATTATATTTGTTTTGAGTTTCATGACTGATTTCTCATCAAATTAAATACAATTTATGATTTCTGACACTTTCAATAAAGGCATGACAATTGTACTGCATGTATTAAACATTTTGCATTAGATTCATACTCTTTTTCTTAACTAGTGCTCTTTTCTATCCTCCTATATTTTAAATGTTTCCTTTTTCTAAGTTAATTTTTATCTTATACCAAAAAATATTAGTGAAAACTTCCAGGCTATTTCTGAGTAGCTTTGTGATTTGACAAAATTAGATTCACATAACCTTCGACTCTCTGGCTTTTGATTAACCTGAGTGCCACATGAAATTAGGGAGTTTGTATTTGGAATTCCGAATACTTTGCACTTGTAATCTCTCACTTTCTTACTGATATTACTTCTCCCATTTCATGCACATTCTCCTCAAATGTCCTCCACCCCAGACTTATAACACATCTTTGTTTCCCATGACTGATTATTTGGGGAGTGTTTGACTTATGGAAGAGAAGCTTTCTTATACTCCGAAAGTCTAAATATTACTAAACTGAGTGGATGGATCCATTTAGTTTGCTCTGGGTTTTCTGCTTATCTCCCTCTTCCAGTGCTGTGGGTAGAGGGTAAAATTGGTGATCCTATGATCTGAAATGAAAATTCAAAATGCTTTTTCCCATCTGGTGGTTAGGTATATATTGTACATACTATATTTATACACATATATAAGATACACACACACACAGTATTCATATTACATATATAAAATAATATTTTGCTCTATGCTAAACAGGATTTTGTATCTTGGAACTACAATACCTACAACATGCTTTTGAAATACAATCATTCGAAAGGTGAAAGCAATATGAAGTGTGATGATCTCTCTCTTTACTATGCGTGATAGATTGCAGAAATTAGACAAAAATTCCTCTTATGCCTGTCTTTGTCATTTTTTCCCATTAAGAGGTGGGGCCTGAAAGGGTTAGTAACATTTTAAAGGTTAAAGTAAAAGCTTGCAAAGGCAGAAACTGAAAAATGAGTTGCTTGCATGACCTTTGCTCAGCCTTCTGTTGAGTAAGGATTATCAGGTTATCCGTAAGACGATGAATCACCCAGCAGATGCAGGATGTGATACCAGACCAGTCAAACTGCAAAATGGACAATGGGCCAGGCAGAGAATGTCAGCAGGAACTGCCAGAAGGTAGAAGTAGAGTATATAACCTACACCTCAACTGTTATTCGAGGCTGACCCCTTTTTAGACTCAGCCTACCTGCTCCCATGCGCATGCAATAAAATTGTTTTGCTCTACATTGGCCTTGTGTTGTGGATGTGATCTCCCACCGGCTCAGACCTTTTATTGGGCCTATTCTTCTACCCTTTGATTTTAGACTTGGCCATATGACTTTCTTTGACTAAAAAACCCCCCAAATAATTTAAGCATAGACTTGAAAATTGCTTGCATGTTGGGGTTTGCCCTCTCTTGAGTCTGTTTCTTTCTTGAGCCTGAAAACCCTTCCACCATCATGTGACTAACTAGTGACACGTGGCCTTAAACCAACTAGCCTGCCCCCTGGCTGACTTACAAATGAAGCCACCTTAGACCACTCAGCCCCAACTCATCCAATTTAGACCAGAAAACTTCAGGATTGTGAAAAATAAGAAATAGTTGTTTTAAGCCACTAAGTTTTTGGGGTGTTTTGTTATGCAGGAATAGGTAAGTGATACATCTCTATAAAAATTTTTCATAATAAGCTGTTCAGGAAAGTATGAGGGTAATAGCAATAGCAAAAATAATGCTTTAAAATGTCAACCACAGAATCCTTTTTGTTTCTTCTGGAAACAAAGCAAATATTGTCCAACTAAATACAGCCTAAATTAGGTGCCAAATGGCTAAAGCCTATAATAGGCACCACCTATGTTAACTCTAGACGTTATACCAATATTTCTTTCAGCACTGTTCATAGTTAAGAATTCTGGATCTTTCAAATGTTTCAGGGTATGGTTGTGTTGACAAATTAATATTTATCGAAAAGAATGTTTGAATCTAGCTGTATTTAACAAAACTCTGGACTATCTATATAAGACTTACTCCTGGCTTAGGGATCTTCTCAAATTCCTTTATTATGAGACTTTTTTCTTCCTGTAAGCTGCAAAAAAAATAAAAAATAAAAAGGTTTGACAAAGTACAAGAGTTAACTATTTCTACAGTAATAACTTTCTCTTCTCTTCTCCCAGTGTACTTCCCATGCTAGTGTTCATTTTTCATGATGGCTTCAGTGACTCCCACAGGCCCATTTAGGTGCTTCATTCCAGTCCTCCTACAACACGGTGTATACACACTCATTGGAGCAGTTACCTCATCACATTATAACGACTTGGGATTATGACCTCTCCACTAGGGTCTGGGCCTTTTCTACTTTACACTATTTACAATGAACTAATGTCTCCCTGGATTACTGCAACAAATTCCACTGGTTCCATCAAATAAGCAGGTTCTACTAGCCAGTAGGTTGGAACATGGAGCTAAAGATGTATGTATACCAGGTTTTATTTTTAGTGAAATTTTATTTGCAATAATGTAAATTAAGGTTAGTATAATAAATATGTGCCACATGGAATTTAATATAGGTTAGTTGTCTTGGCAACAAGCTAAAGCTGATTTTTTCAGAATTTTAAATACTTATGCTTTTGCTGTTAGAGATTGCATATAAATTGATATTTTACTTCCAAGTTATTGATCCCACACCTCAACCAGCCTGCCATAAGGGGGCAGTAGTGTGCTGCCATCTTTTAGTTGTAAAGGCAACCTTAGTGTCCATGAGTTTCAAAATGGTGACAAGAAACTTGCTCACAAGTCAAGACAATCTTTTTTTTAAAAAAAACAAACATAAAATGACTAATTATTTAGGGTAGTTTTAATTAATTATATTTCTATTATTCATTTTTATTATAAAACACTGATTGTTTTTTTCTTTAAAAAATGTGTGCTTTTATATTTATAAAGAAATACAGTTGATTGTTGAACAATATGGGCTTGAACTGCATAGGTCCACATATATGCAGATTTTTTTCAATAAATAATCTAACTATTTTTTCTCCTTTATGATTTTCTTAATAACATTTTCTTTTCCCTAGCTTACTTTATTGTAAGAATATAGTATATAATATATATAATTTACAAAATGTATGTTCATTAACTGTTTATGTTATTTATTCATTTACTTTTTTATTAATTTATTTTTGTTACAAATGTTTCGCCTTTTTTTCCCCATTGAAACCCTCCTCCCCATCTCCCCCCACACTGTCCCCAGCTTTGTTGTCCGTGTCCATCAGTTATGTGTACATGCATATAAGTTCTGTGGTTTATCTCTTCCCTCCCCCCACCCCCTTTTCTGAGGGTTGTAAGTCTGTACCCTACTTCCACGTCTCTGGGTCTACCCTGTTCCATAGACTGTCATGTTCATTATATTCCAAATAAGTAAGATCGTGTGATATTTGTCTTTCTCTGCTTGGCTTATTTCACTTAGGATAATACCCTCCAGGTCCCTCCATGTCATCTTAAAGGATAAGAAATCTTTCTTTCTTACAGCTGTATAGTACTCCATTGTGTATATGTACCACTGCTTTTTTATCCATTCGTCTACTGATGGACATTTGGGCTGTTTCCAGATCTTAGCTACTGTAAATAGTGCTGCTATGAACATGGGGGTACATATATTCTTTCTCACCAGTGTTTTAGGCTTCTTAGGGTATATTCCTAGAAGTGGAATCACTGGGTCAAATACCAATTCAATTTTTTATTTTTTGAGGTAACACCACCTTGTTTTCCCTAGTGCACCAGCCTGCATTACCACCAGCAGTGTACTAGAGTCCTCTTTTCTCCACACCCTCGCCAACACTTGTTTGATGATTTGTTGATGGCAGCCATTCTGACAGGTATGAGGTGATACCTCATTGTTGTTTTAATTTGCATCTCTCTGATGATTAATGATGTTGAGCATTTCCTCATATGTCTCTTGGCCATCTGTATGTTCTTTTCAGAGAGGTGTCTATTTAGGTCCTCTGCCCATTTTTTAACTGGGTTCTTTGTTTTCCTTTTGTTGAGTTGTATGTGCACTCTATATATTTTGGAAATTAACCCCTTATCTGATACATCATTGGCAATGATGCTCTCCCATACAATGGGTTCCCTTTCCATTTTGATGGTTGTTTCTTTTTTTTAACTTTTTTTTTTTTATCCTCACCCGAGGACATCTTTTGATATTTTGTTCAGATAGAGTGGGAGGGAGGTAGGGACGGGTGGGAGAGAGAGAGAGAGAGAGAGAGAGAAACATCGACATGAAAGGGACACATCTAGTAGTTGCCACCTGCACAACCCAACCAGGGCCGGGAACAAACTGCAACTGAGGTACGTGCCCTTAGCGGGAACCAACCCAGGTCTCTGGGGACTGCAGGCCAACGTTCTAACCGCTGAGCCAAACTGGCCAGGGCGATCGTTGTTTCTTTTGCTGTGCAGAAGCTTTTTAGTTAGATATAGTTCCATGTGTTCATTTTTTCCTCTCTTTCTGTTGCCTTAGGTGATGTATCAGTGAAAATTCTGCTACATATGATGTCCAAAATTTTGTTGCCTACATTTTCTTCTAGGATTTTTATGGATTCACGGGTCAAATTTAAGTCTTTTATCTATTTTGAGTTTATTCTTGTGTATGGTGTAAGTTGATGGTCTAGTTTCATTTTTTTGCATGTAGTTGTCCAATTTTTCCAACACCATTTATTAAAAAAGGCTGTCTTTACTCCATTATATCCTCTTGTTACCTTTGTCAAATAGTAATTGAGCATATTATCTTGGGTCCATTTTTGGGTTCTCTATTCTGTTCCACTGGTCTATATGCCTGTTCTTGTGCCAGTACCAGGTTGTTTTGAGTACATTAGCTTTGTAGTATAACTTGATATCCAGTATTGTGATCCCACCTACTTTGTCCTTCTTTTTCAAGATTGTTGTGGCTATTTGGGGTCGTTTTTGGTTGAAGTATTTGTTCTAGTTCTGTGAAATATGTCGTTGGTATTTTGATGGGGATGGCATTGAATCTATAGATTGCTTTGGGTAGTATGGACATTTTAATGATGTTAATTCTTCCAATTATGAACAAGGTATGTGCTTCCACTTTTTTATATCTTCCTCTATTTCTTTTTTCAATGTGCTGTAGTTTTCTGCAAATCAGTGTTTTACTTTTTGGTTAAGTTTATTCTTAGGTATCTTAATTGTTTTGCCACGATGGTAAATGGGATTTTTTTTTTAGTTTCTCTTCTGTGGGTTCGTGATTGGTGTATAAGAATGCCATTGATTTATTGACATTAATTTTGTATCTTTCTTCTTTGCCAAATTCATTTATTAAGTCTAGTAGATTTTTGATGGAGTCTTTGGAGTTTTCTATGTATAATATCATGTCATCTGCGAATAATGACAGTTTCACTTCCTCTTTTCCAATTTGGATCCCTTTTATTTTTACTTCATGTCTGATTGCTGGGGCTAAAACTTCCAGTACTATGTTAAATAAGAGTGGTGAGAGTGGGCATCCTTGTCTTGTTCCTGTTCTTGAGGGAAATGTTTTTAGTTTTTTCCCATTGAGTATAATGTTGGCTGTAGGTCTTTCATATATGGTCTTTATTATCTCAAGATATAATCCCTCTATTCCCACATTGCTGAGCATTTTTATCAGAAATGGGTGGTGAATTTTGTCAAATACTTTTCAGCATCTATTTGATATGATCATGTGGTTTTTATCCTTCATTTTGTTTATGTGGTGTATCACATTTATTGATTTGTGAATATTGTACCAGCCTTGCATCCCTAGGATGAATCTCACTTGGTCATGGTGAATAACTTTTTGGATGTATTGCTGGATCCAGCTTGCTAGTATTTTGTTCAGGATTTTGGCATCTATGTTCATCAGGGATATTGGCCTATAGTTTTTTTTCTTTGTGGTGTTTTTTTTTTTTTTTTTCTTTCTGTTTTTGGAATTAGATTTATGCTGGCTTCATAAAACAAGTTTGGTAGTTTTCCTTTTTCTTGAATTTTTTTGAAATAGTTTGAGGAGAATGGGTGTTAGTGTTTCTTGAATGTTTGGTAAAACTCCCCTGTGAAGCCATCTGAGCCTGGTTTTTTGTTTCCTGGGAGGGTTTTGATTACCTCTTCAATTTCCTTTGTTGTTATTGATCTGTTCAAGTTTTCTATCTCATTTTCAATGTTTCTATGTCTTTACTTATGGTGTTGATGTCCTTACTCATGCTGTTGAGCTTCTTCAAGATCATGGCTCTGAATTCTAGCTATGTTAACTTGCTTAACTGCTTTACATTTATCTCTTCTTCGGTAGAGGTCTCTTGTTCTTCCATTTGGCTTTTGTTTCTTTGTTTCACCATTTTGGCTATCATAGTGGGCTTTGGAGCCTGCCAAATTTTCCCTGTGGGTGTTGGTGTTGTGCTGTTTGTGGTTCCCTCTCCTGGGTTTGGATGAGCGAGGGAGGACCCATGTTAAACACCACGGTCAAGTCTTACTTTCCCGGTTAGAGTTGCTAGCCCAGGAATGGTTCAGTTATCCTCTAGCTTTTAGCTTAGAGGCTATCAGTAGTGGTTACTTGAAGAGCCTTGGGTCCTCAGTTGAATGAAAAACTCCCTCAGGTGTTTAGTGTAAGGGGATTTCCCGAGGGTGGGGCAGATGCTGGTTGTTAATAAGCCTCAATTTGCATTTCAATGGCCCACCTGGGTGGGATTGAATCTCTGAGGGAGGGGCCACCACCTCTCTCCAGAGCCCTGGGAAGGAGTAAGATGGCCACTGTCCTGCATGGCTGCAACTCAGCAAAAGCTCTGAGTGCCCTCCAAATCCCGAGTGTCCTCACGCAGTTCCAGTCCAGTCGCACTCTGTCTGCCAGAGTCCAAGGTGAATGCCTGTGGCTATTTTAGTGCTCTGCCCTGGCTCTCTGCACTGTGGTGCCACTTGGGATTTTAACCATGAGGGCGCTGCTCACAGCTAAGACCACTGCTGTCCACGGGCTCCCAGTTACCCCTCTCACACCTTTGCAATCCTACCAGGATTGATTCAGTGTTTCTGGTTATATGGTCCTTGCAAGCTGCTTTTCTGTTGCTTTTT